CATAAGCAATAATAACACTTAATGGCTTATTGGTCAAGTGGAACGGAGATGCAAAAAGAGGATAATGAATGGAGAAACCATGGGATCAAGGAATAGAGGTTGTTATAAATTTATGCCATATTAGGCAAAAACTAATTATTTTTAACATTCATGTACCTATAAATCGTACCACTCCAATGGTCTCTTTTCGGCAGAACTAACACTATTTCAAAACGTTACGTTCACCAACACTATTATAGTGTTGAAAAGGTATTTTCAATCATCAATTTTCTTTTCAAGAGCACCACTTTACCACTGCAACAGTTAATTTATTCAAGATATTTGGTATGTTATGCATAATACATCCCCTCAATAAAAGTCTAAAATGAGTACTACATGCATGTGAAGTAATGCACGCATCACATCGTATCATGCTTACTGAGTGCAGAATATTAAATGGATGAGAATGTGCATATGCAGGTATGCATATGACTACAAGTACTTGTGTCTAAGCATGCATGTAACTTCCATAAAATTTGTATCACAAGCAGACCTAAGTAATGATCCACATTAAACCAACAGGAGCATATTAATAAAATACCACAAAGAAAGTAGAACATACAGGTTGATGGACTCCCCTGTTGACAATCAGTCATTGTAAGTACAGTCTCTTTTCTTGATGCATATTCTTCAGGAAATTGCTCCTCCAAAAAATGCTTCAGAACCAAACAAACATTTGGGAACCCATTTGGATGAACACTTGGACATAAGTGGCAACTACACGCCTTATTTCCTGGATTGATGATGCAAGCTTCACAATATACTGCAAAAAGGAAGATGCTGAAAAAATATGAATTTTCCAATAATAATCTATTTCCCAATGCACAGAATGGCTATTTAAAGTGGTAAGGTTTACCATGGCCACAATTGAGAACTACAGGTCGACAGAGAAGTTGCTTGCACAAAGCACACAGCAGATCAGTAATAAATACCCGCTGGCAAGTTCCATGTGCAATTTTATCTCCAGGCATACTAATTTCTTGACCAACCACATCCCCCATGGCTTGATAACTCGATGTGGTAGTTGTATTCTCTTTATCAGGTCGATTAATTTCGGATGAAGATTTAATTAGAGAAGTTTTCCCTTCACATGAACCATATTCTAAATGCCACCTTTCATGTAAACTGGTAGTAGAATGTGGAGAAGAGGCATCTTTATTATCTAACTCCGTACCAAAACTGGATGCCGATAGATAATCATCAAATTGGGGTGAGAAGGATCCAGATTTCTTCTCTTCTTCTGGAACATTGAAGATGAAACAGAATGACATTAGATACTACCACTCTATTAGATACTAGGATTCAGTACACTGTACACAATAGGTCACTAAAGTTTGCAGTGATTTTAATTTGGTCTTTAACCTTTTGTTCTTGTAAATTTTGTCCTTGAAACTAATGACATTGCTCCAATGTGGTCCCACGTATTAATACATGACTGATATTGAGGGACATTTTTTGTCATTTAGTATCCAAATAATGGAAATTCAAAAAATCAAAGAAAAAGAAAAAATAGAGGTCGCCTCCCTCTCACAACCCATCCACCGCAAGGATCCACCCCGAACACCAAGCAACTGTAAACTCCAACTTGCCACTCTCTAACGAACACCTGCAAAGATTCCCTTTTGTTAACATACTTTGAACCAACCCCCTGCCACTATCTCTGCACACAATAGACACCCACTCCTCCAACACCTCCCCCCCTCCCCCCCCAAAAAAAAAAATAATAATAATAATAATAACCCAAACCCACCTTTCAAACTCCATAACATTTCCTTCACCTTTCAAACTGATGGTGGGCGACATTTCAATCATTGTTTATCTCAAAAGGGCATAAATTCAAAAGAAAAAGAGATTAAGATGCCTCCCATTCTCTATCACCCCATCCACCCTCCATGCAAAGATATACCCGAACTCCAAGCAATCATTGTCGTTCCCATTAACCACCCATTCTATCTGTCTCTCTAACCAATAACTGCAAAGCTACCCATTCTCTAACATGCTGCAAACAGCCTAAACAACAAATGCCCACTCCTCTCTCTCTATCTCACATTCAGTCCCAACCACCACCAAAACCCACCTTACAAACTCCGCACTATTTCCTCCAAAAGAATGAAAATAGGATACAAAAGTTCAAATTCCTTCAACCTTCGTACATTTTAACAACTTAAAATACAACATAAATGAACCTCTTTCCCATATAACCCTAAATAACTCAAACAACCATAAAAAAAAAAAAAAAAAATTCCACTTGAATTCATTCAAACTTTAAAACATTTCCTCAATGGAATAAAAACCAAAATTTTATTCAAATCCTTAAAAGGATTGGGATTTTCTCCTCATCAACTTCTAAGATAAAGATAAGATCCATTGGAGTTCGTTGTAACTGCTTCCATAGAAAGTGGTCCTGCCATAGATATTCTGGAGGTGTGGGAAAGCTGAGGTTTGCTCTGCATATGTGTTTGATCTGCTGCCAAGACAAAGTTCTCATGGAGTTTTAGCGAAACCATGAATGGAATTTTAAGAGAGAGAAGAGGTGGGTTTTTTGTTGTTTGCTAGAAACTTGGAATGAGTTTGCAATCATTGGTTAGAGAGAAAGAGTGGTGGGTTGACAAGGATGGGGGTGGTTGCTTTGCGTTTGGGTGGGCCTTTGTGGTGGATGGAGTGGTAGAGAGATTAAGACGGAGAGGAAGGCAGCCTCTTTTTTTTTTTTTTTACTTTTTATTTTGCATTTATGTCTTTTTTATATATACAATGACAAAAATGTCTCAATATCAGTCCTGTGATACAAACATGATTTTTTCGATCCAAAATTCTAATAATCGTTAAAAGAGTGGATACGTTGAAGCAAATGACAATATTTGAAGGCCAATTTGAGAAAACTCAAAGATTAAGGATCAATTTGAAATTTCCAACAAATTTCAAGGACCAATGAATGATGTAGTAATTAACCCTAGATAATACAGACTAAGAAATGATAATATTAACCAGTCTGGTACTACATGCTTCAACAGAGGTGAGCACAGTAGTGATATAGAGCTAGTAACTTAAAAGACAGTTTAACAGAAAGGCAAATTAAAATTTAAGTTAAAAAATACAACATCAATTCATTATATAAATCCCTTAGAATTTCAAATGATGAACCATATTGCACCAATACAGAGATGTCAATTTAACTAGGCATACAGTCAGACAGATCCAAAACCATATCGACCATCTGGTTCTTTTGTGATCAATATTGGTAGATATATATACTGGTAAAAATTTTAAAGCTTGGCTGCTCCAACTATATAGTCAAACCAACTTGATCCTTCTGGATTTTATCTTTATTTTTCTGCATCATATGTCCAAGCTTGGGTTATTCTGATATAGAATTGACTGAGACTGATTCAGACTTTAGACCAAGTTAAAAGGTGGGGTAAATCAATGAAAGCTGATAACAGTTTTCTTCTCCGATGTATGATGTGTGTGCATATATCAAGCCACTTCTCAATCTATGATTCATTAATAAAGTTTCAATGCTACAAGGTTTTAGGCCAGGATACACTTAAGAAGGAAATACGTTAGATCATGGGCAAGGAAACTCATTACTTTAAACATCCCACAGATTTATTTAGCGAAATAGGCCTTGCTACACTTTTTTTTTCCCATATCTGCATTACTTTTTCACATGCAAATGCATAGTTTATGAATATTGCAGGACAGTAGAGAACTGTATCATGCCTTGTGGGTGTATGTGTGAGTGTTGATATCGAGCCACTTCTCAATATATGATTCTTACAGAGTCGCAAACCTACAAAAGGCCTTGATGCATCTAAGAAGGAAATTGGTTAAACCATGGAAGCGGAGTCTTACATTTCACATTAAGAGCAGTCATTTGGCATAGGCCACTCTACAGTTAAACTTTTCCACTTTTGACATCATTCATTGTGGATTAGAACAAGGAAGAACAAATTTAGCCCCTTTAAACACCACCAGATTCTTGGTTTCATGCCCCATAGAACTGATTTACAAAGAGACCTTACCTTCATGTCCTTCATCCACAAAGGAAACATGAATTTTCAATGTGCGCTTTGGCCCATTAAGAAATGTTGGTATAGCTTGGAAATAAAGCCCATCTTTTTTAAATTGTAGCAGTTTTGGAATAGCTTGAAATATCAAACACATCTTTGAATAAAATGTGGTCACATTCTGTGCAAATCATAAGTCTCACTCGAATTGTGGTTGCGTTGGAGATGTATAAGTTGACTAGGCCGAGTCATCCTTATCAACTCATAGCATATCGCATAATATCCTTATGCAAAGCCGCGTTTTCGCCTAAATCTCCAGACATGTCCAACTTTTCCTATTTAACCTTTCATGTGGATCGTCCAATGTTGTAGGCGCGACGCGACCGATGCATCTTAATACCCTACAAGTCTTTGACCAATACTAAAACCTTGAACAGTGGTTGTATTTCATATATTACTTTCACTTCCTTGACTTTAAGGTAGCATTCATTTCTCGATGGTGGGTTTCCAAAGTATTGCAACACAACAATCTAAACTTATTGCTTCGTCAATATCACTCCCTAGTTTACATGATCAGCTTCAACATGTTTACATGTAGGGAGTGAAGTTGTGATCAAATGGTGTGGTTCAAGCCCTTAAACTATTTTTTTTTTTTGTTTATTTCAACAAGATTCTTACATACAATAGTGACCTGAGTAGCATCTAAAGTGGTCTGGGGTTAGGACATAGACATCAAATCGGACTATCATTTAGCCGAATTAAAGTCTCCATGGTATGCCCATAGTGTTGGCATAAAGCTCTAACCTTAGACTTGGCCATTGTCATCCCTATAAGTAAATATACAACTGTCATTGAGGGAAACATTTTCAAGAAGAGCTTGAAATGTGATCCTTTACTTAAAACAATCCAACCAAGAGCAACGGTTAATCGCGTGGGTCCGTTTTTAACTGGATCCTACTTCAATATATGCTCAAGCTCATTAAAGTCAAACCTCTTCGGAAGACTTTGGCAAGCAGTATGGCGTAGTCGTTCATGCAACTCGCCAGAATTGGATGACAGAGTCACAGAACTGCACAATGTAAGAATACTTGCACGTCCCTCTTCCACCATTGTCTCCAAAGAAAAAGTAATTCTTGATATGTAAGCACCTTTTTTGCTGCCCTCTGTTTTGAGACTCTAGGGCAATAAAAACCCTAAAAGTACTCAATCTCACTCTAGATAGCAGCAACCCACTAAAGCTTTCTATTTTTGCAGGAAACTCCCTTCAGATCCAACAGCACTATCACCTCTGTGACTCACAATTTTCAGGAATTGGCTTTGTGCGATGTACTATGAATTTTACGACTCTTGCTCAAATATTTTGAACATTCGCAAGTTTTAAGCAATCTTTAAAATTTTTCAATTCAAGGCGTCAAGATATTGTAAACATTTATTAGTGGAATTAATTGTCTATATAAACCAATCTGGAGAAATGAAAGCAATAAAGTATTGAAAAAGACGCACCTAACACTTGTCTTTTCCTTCTTTTATAGGCTATTGGGTACAACTTCACAAGCAAGATATGCATCAATCTGCAGATACTAGGAAAATGATTATAGGGCTCCCGACAAACTGGACAGTGCGACTCCTGCCAACTATCCATAGCTTTGAAAACACACCAGAAGCATGAAAGGTGACCACACCCTGCAAACAAGGAAATAAGGGAACTGAACTTTGTGAAGAAACAACGACCAATTTGTAGCTTTTGCAATGCCCTTTTACCTAAGACAACTGGTTTGTACAAGAGATCCCTGAAAAATAAACAAAAAAAGGAAAATTACAATCAATCACATTATTTGTCAAAGCAAAAGCAACTTTAATGGAAAATAGTTGATTACTCACACAGAAGATAACCAAAAACCCCTTTGACGTGGTTATAATTGGGGTTTCATTGGAGATGGTTACGTGAACCAAAATTGAGTAGTGACCACTAAAAAAAATTCCATCCCCGTATCTTTTTCCACCCACACGCACACAACCTGTCCTGCAACTTTTGGTATTCTTTGAATTTGCCCAAATACCAAGTTTGTTATCAGCAAAAAAAATACCAAGTTTGTTCTTCAATCAATTTCTTGTAGCACATGCTTCCACATATAATCAGCATATTTCTCATAGATTAACAAACTAACGCCGCTGTAATTCATTCAAAAATTGCAACAAACAAATAGTACCTTACACACACACATAATACAAATCAGGAATCGCCGTAGTTCTTTTAACTCTTAACTTCAGAACGCAAGAAATATGCAAACAATCACGCAATGCGAAACCATATGTATAGCGTATAACTTACAGGCAGACGCAACACTGAAATTCATCAGGAAATTCCTCCTCTACTGCAATTTCAGCAAATTCTTTTTCCAAATTTTCCATAACCGTGCGTTTTGATGAGTTTTTCTCCTCAGATCCAATTCCAGCATGTTCTTCTCTGTCCAAAGTTGTCATCACTGCGTTTATATATGTGTATATGTGTGTTAATATATATATATATATATATAGGCCTAGGCCACTTAGTCGGCGGCTAGGCCCCAATTTTTGTAAAATTTTGGGCCCTCTAAGGTTTTTAATTATGAGTACATTTATTTTGGAGGAACTAATTTAAAAGGATTAAAATTTTAATGATAGGTCCATTAACATTTCAATAATTTATCTAAAAATTTTTTTCACTTGCCAGCTATATTAGACTGCTAGATTTCTGAAACAAGGAAGGTAAACGACTAAATGTCTCTCTCTCATCTGTGAAGGAATTAGACAAATTTTTCAGCATCACTCTATCTTTCTTACACAAATTTATTAACTGCTATCATTACTGAGATTCACTTACAAACCACAGTGTTTGTTTAATGCCACTCCCTCATGCTCTCTCTCTATGAAGTGTGAAGCTTGAATCTGAACAAAGAAAGAACACCAAATCTCTCTATTTTCTTGTAGTTCAAAAATCTATCAATTAATTGATAACGATCAAGATTCAAGGATCAAAAATTTTTTGGGTTTCAATCTATTATAATAAACTGGTTTGTTCAATTGTTCTCTCATTTTTTATTAGAAATTTTTAGAAGTTTGGTGTGCTTAGAATTTGTAATATAGTTGATTACATATTTTGATAT